TGTACGTTAATATATAATGTCATTTTACGTTACTATTTATAATGCTCGTGAATTGTGCTGTGTATAGCTGTTTATCATCATTTTCCGAAAGGTGAAACGAATTAACTAAAAAACCTTATGTCTGAAACTCATTCAGTTATTATTTTCTTCATTCATTTAATGTAAAAAAATACATATTTATTATATCAACATAATGAGATACCATAACTTCGTAAGCTAGTAGACAAGAGTTCTCGAATTTTCAATTCGTATTGCCGATAGATATTACGTAAGTAGTGAATATACCTAATTATTACTTATGTAAGTAATGACGATAAACTCGGACACGCAATTTCAAATACCATGGTTACCTTATTTAAAAGTTACATGTCCAAAATATAACATTTGAAATGCTTTTAATATATTTTTGAAATAAATCATCAATGTTACTCTAGTTAGTGAAGTAATTAAAAATATTTTAAGTAATAATTAATATTTTTATATTAGTATATTTATTATATAATAAACATATTTATTATATTATTATGTATGTTAGTCTATAAGGTATATATTTATGTTGTAAGATCATTGTATATATGGGTATTTGTAACCTGAATATTAAATAAATAAAAAAATGTACACCAAGGGTATTATTGCAATTATTAGCTCAGATTTCTTGTTTGACGGTGTATGTAGGTATTTTTGTACGTTAATCGAATTCCGGATGGGACTTTGTTGACAAACACTCGGTGTATCATTGTAGAAGGGACAAATAGAGGAGGTGAATGTACTTATGGAAGTAAACAACTTCAGAACGAGAAACCTACCAAGAGCGTGTGAATCTTACCAACAACGTAATAACAATAGTAACTAATTACATGGAACAGCGACACGAAGACGAAACCTATCCAACGTACGACACAAGTGCAGCCCTTGAAGTCTTGTTAATAAAAATAATGCCGTTCTATACAAGGGAATTCAAATAATAAATATTTTATAAAATAACATTTATATATTATTATTGATGCAAAGATCTAATACATACAAAGAAAAATTCCCTCGACCAGTGGCTATTGCCGCAAGAGAGATAAGAGCAGATCTTACGAATGTCATCGGCTAAATTTTAAGGCCCCATAAGTCCGTTTTCGGACGAAATAACTTTTTTACTCTTCAAGCCTTCGAGACCTTTTTTTAGTTATAAAATAAAGGAATACTCATGGATTGTCATATACTTGTTTATGATAATTCTGTTTCGGTATGAGGTATGCATGTTTGTTAAAAAAAACTTGGTCTTATTTACTAGGAAACGTGAAGTATGTAATTTTTTAACTAGATATCCAAACTGTATAGCTGGCCCCTCCCATATATCCCACTTGCTTTTATAGGAATTGCTATAACATGTCCATACAAATATATAATGCTTAGCCTGCAGCTATCGCAGATTTACCTATCAAAAAAAAAAGTTATTTGATTTGCTATGTGATCTGTGTTTATACGATATCAAAGATTTTTTAATAATAAAAAGAAATTGACATTTTGTTTGTATTTGACTCTTTGTTTATATTTGTGCTGTTATTACTACTTTGATATTGTTTAATTTATGATGTTGTTGCTGTTGCTATTTATTGGCATTTTTCATTGACTTAACAATTATATGGACGTTGGGTCCGCGCTAAAAAGTGTCCGAACTTATAGGGCGTTAAAATCGTATACAGAGCGTCATTCACGCTTTAGTCTTCGTTTGTTTTGTTGTTTGTTTGACTGACAGCGAAGCAAGCAAAATTAGACAGTACTGCGATGACATTACAATTTAAATTCAACGTTTTAGCTTTTTCATATTCCTTTACAGGTCACTACGTTTAAATAGGTTGACTTCGGACATTTTTTTCGTGGTTTTTGTATTAGACCCGTCGTCCATTTATTTGTAAATCAATGGCATTTTTACTTAATTTCATACGACATTGCTTATTTGACAAATTGTATAATTTTAATTTATGACATTATTTAACTTCAATTTATTTTAATATTTGCGTGCCAGTATCTGGTGCAACACGTGTTCTTGACACCTTGTATAATAATATCTTTTCTTACCGTGTTTGCTTGCGAATAAATATTTCAAATATTTCATTTCATTTGGAGCTTTTTTATGATTCCAATTAACGGGACGAACATGTCGTGCGCATGATGGTAAGCCTGTCCAAAACACTTGCAGTGCCACTGAGAACTTTAAATAACAATGATGTAATGGGGTGCTGCTTCTGCACTCGTCGCATCGAGACATACATCTCTAGTGCCTATAATTTCACCAATATCCTTACCCTTTAGAACGACCGGAACCCAGTAATGCTCCCATTACCGCTTGGCGGCAGAAATAGATAATAAAGTGCCAGTACTTCCTTTGACGAACGTTAAGTTACGTACGAGGTTTACGAATTTAGCTGACGATGTGCTTTTCGCGGAGCTTTGTGTTTGATTTGAACGGCTTGTTTAAGACATTATTATTATTAATAACAACTATAATGCGACGTTACTGACGCCGATGAGGCCGAAGCTGCATAGCGGTGTCCGTAATACCACAAATAGTATATAATAATCCATAGTGTTATTTAATTTTCATATAAGATTGACTGTGTTTTACTGTGTTTGACTGTGTTTTAACTTGCTTTATAACAATTTCGCATTTTTTTATATTATTAATTAAAAGAACAATAGCGATCCCCAATTCAAATTTTTGTTGACCTAATTTATTTGCTGTATATGAAAACCAATGCGTCAATCCTGTGTGAGTTTCAAATTAAGACTCGGTTATCCATCATATGCCATCAAGGAATTATTTCATATTTCAGCCACATGAGGCGCAGAGGCGATGAAAATTTGGAGAAAGTGACGTAGTTGGAAACACGGAGGGAAGGCGCATACGAGGCCATGCACCAATGAAATGGACCGATCAAGTGAAAGACTTATCGTCCTCCAAATTTTTCACAGCCGTTAGGGACGCGCTGGATAGAAACAGTTAGAGGCAGATCACCCGCTTTAGAAATAGGCACGAAACTGACCACGTTCCTCATGACATGACATGAGGGAACGACTATAGAGAGATGAAAACTAATGTAAAAACATAGTTTAAATTCCTAAAGAAATTTAGTGCTGAATTTACTATTCTGAGAAATCTTAAAGATATTCCAGCAAAGTTTTGGAGGTTGTGTTTCATGTTATCGGATAAAATATATTCGGTATATTATCATGTCAAAATAAACGACACAAGCCTTAAGCAGAGTGAATAGAAGCCAACTGGTGCCATGTGTTTTTGTAATGACGAAAATTCAAAGGGTATGGCATGGAACGGGAATTCACAAACTTATAAAACTCATATTCGATTGCTTCACCGGAACCATGGACCAACTGACTGCTAATCGCAATACAAGACAGCGGGGTCTTTATTTATTACCTATTGGTACAACAGATGCGAGTGATGCCACACAATCCGTTGCGTCAGGCGTTGCAATGCCTGAACGATCGCGCTGCGTTGTATTACATATAAATCACAGCGACATGCCACACGCGCGGCGACAGAACGCGTGCGCTTTGGACAAGTGGCCAGGAGACGAAGCAAGGAGGGATGTTGCGGTGAGTAAGTAAGCGGCATTATTTTGCGACACCGCATTACTCGACTGTGCTCCTCATCACCCCAATCCTCTTGTGGTAGCTGCATCCAATTACGTCCCCCTCATAGAACACCCTCACCGTCCCGTCGAGCCAGAAAAGTCCTCAACGACTTTGACTACCCTATCACTCTCGTCACGTTACAGCTAGGCCAACCAGATCACAGCTCAGTCGCACGCCATACGAAATGACCATCCCCGCCGGTGAAAAAGAAGAGTCCCCCAGTTCAGCGTGTACTCGCGCAAATTCACTCCCAGACACGCCCTTCCGGCGGAAATCCCCAATAGTGTTCTGAGCCGAAGTCTGTGCCCACTTGGGCACCCTCAGATCGTCTACATAAATTTTTACACAGGGCAATCAAGGCCAACAGTGGCACGCGGACAGCGCCCGTGTGGCATCCCTCTTAGAGTAGAATAGTATACATTTATTTGCCAGTACACAGTAATTACAAAGGCCTTAAGTAAAATAAGGTACATTGTATTCAACCTTCAAGCAGATGTGCAAACATTAATAAGATTTCATGTTTGGTGATTGTTGTCCACCGTTATTGCAATTCAAATTAATATAAATTAGTATTTGTAAATTCAATGTATTCTTTATTACTTTGAAATGGTTACTATAATAGTCCGAAATGACATTTTCCAGAAACAACGTTTGGTCGAATTTTCAAAACTTCGAAAGTAATTTTGAGAGGAAAATGTTTTTTTCCTTTTAACTTAACGTAACCTAACGGAACCTGATCGTGTCTTTGCAATAAACATCCAACTTATCCTGAAAGAACAACGGTTTCGTTATAATTCGGTTTTCGGGGTAATGAAAATTCGAACAAACGTTATTACTGAAAAAAAAAGGTTGCCCCATAAAAGCAACGTGTCAAAAATGTTTATAATTTTTTTATTATAATAGGTGACGGCACGAACAAGTCGTGAACCTGGTGGTAAGCGACACGTCTACCCATAACAGTTGACAAATTTCATGTGCATAATTGTACCTATAGTTTCACCAGCATCCTTCAAGACTGGAACGCAGTTACAATCACGTTACTGCTTTGCAATAGAAATGCGAGTAGGTCTGGTGGCAGTACTTCTCTGGACTCTTTCACAAGAAACTCTACTACTAATTACAAAAGAATTAATAAAAAAGGCTTATGTATAAAAGACCAATATAAATCTATTCGCAAAGGATTGTGTATAAGATGCTGGAAAAAATTCAACAATTAGATTATATTAGTCTCCAAATTCAAAAAGTGTTCGTTTTCATAAATATAATCTCTTATTGTCTTGTTTCTAAAAATACAACCTGTATATTTTTGGTACGTAGTTTACCAAAACTGTAGTAAATTTAAAAAATAAAATAAACGGACTCTAATTTTTGATGCAATAAATTGAAATTACTATACTCACTATAAATACTGCTTGTGGTCTTGAAAGATGGATTGTGGAAGTTTTTCCAGAAGTGAGTCTGTTTTCGAAAATGCGTCTTCTAGATCCGATCTGTAACAAACGAAGAAGATAATAAGTTTGATTAACAGATGGATCACTAAAGAAAGTGTTGGAGAAGATATGTCCACATATATCTTCCTTGGCCAGCAGATTAAGCTCTGCTGCATACGCAGCCCATAAAATATGTGAACTTATCGATGTTGCTACTGCTACACTAGTTTACTTTAGTTACTTCCATAGTATAATGTCCGGGATTCTCATGTGGGGTAAAGCGGCAGATATTCAAACCATGTACCGTTTAGGTTCTCGGATTTCTCTCAGAGAAAAGTTAGGGAGACTGGTATCATGACTGTGACATCACAGTACATTTACTCAAATATGTTGTATGTCCGTAAAAATATACATAACTTTGGTAAGAAAGAAGATATCCATAATATTAACCTTAGAACTAAGTCCAAACTCATGGTTTCAAACCACGTTTTCGTTTAACTAAGGTAAACGATTGTTTTATGGGGAACTGTATACGTTTTAAGATTCCGGAGCATATATTAAGTTTACCATTTCCTAGGTTTAAAACTTACATTAAAAGTATTTTAATTGAAAAGTCATATTATAAATTTGTAGACTACGAGTTAGATGAACATGAATGGAAAGACAACGTGAGTTTAGATTCCACACAAATATGATTCAAAATGTATTTCTATAGCATTTAAGTTTATTTGAAAAGAGTTGTACCTAGAGTTTCTTACTTGTTCTTCTTAGGGAGGTCAGCGTAGTGAACGAGCAGTAGCTTAAAAAATTACGTTTTCAACATTGACTTACAATTATATGGACGTCGGGTCCGCGCTAAAAAGTGTCCGCACTTGTAAGGCGCTAAAATCGTATACAGAGCGCGACACTCCGCTTTAGTCTTCATTTGTTCTACCGACAGCGCGATACTGCGATGACATTACAATTTAAATTTCGAATAGGTTGACTTGGGACATTTTTTTCGTGGTTTTTGTATTAGACCCGTCGTCCATTTATTTGTAAGTCAATGGTTTTCAAGTTAAAAAATTTTGCCTATGGAATAAATGATTATTTGACTTGGACTTGATGAAAAGAAGCATAATCATACATCATTTATAATTCGTAACTCATCCATTTGCGAAAACAGAGAATTGTTTTAATGATACCAAATGCGGAAGGAAGAAAGTCTGACGCATGCGCCTAAGCAACACGCCTGTCCATAACAGTAGCAGCTTTAAATCGCAAAGATCTGAGATACCTCTGCGTCCGTCACCCTGAGACATAAGTTGACAAGACCCATGTGCTTGTAATTTCACTAGCACCCTTATCCTTTGAAACCGAAACGCAGTAATGCTCACATTCCTATTTGGAGGTATAAGTAAATAAGGTGACACAATGGCGTAGCGTCAATTTCTGCCGCCCGGCACCATTTTTGAATTTGCTGCCCCCTCTATTTTCACGATTACAAAAGTTGTTCGTTCGAGCAGATTCGGCTCGATTGAGTTTTTTTGGTCACTGTCGTCGCCACTTTTGTGTTGTTTAGGATACCGTTTTCGCCAACAGTGGATTTTATTTTCTAATTTTCAGTAAAATAATAATTTTAGTTAGGGCTCGATTGCGCTCGCCGCCGTCCCGTTGTTGCACAAAATAGACTAAACTAGGTGTTAACATGTTGTACATTAATTAATGGCCGCAATGATGTATGAAAAAACATTCACACACAAGACACAAATGAATATTCTTAGTTACAAAACAAAATCATAAACAAAACACAAATTAGATTATTTACATAAACATAAGACACTAGATATGAAGTTACTTTGTTTAGTGCCAGCCGAGGTAACATAGTTTCAGTACAGAGTACTAAAAAAACCGATCTCAAAATTACGTGGAATTACATATAGGTAATTACCAAGTTTTATTGAAATCGGTTACCGGAAAGTGAGCAAACCCGGATTCATCCCCTAGTTCGCCACTATACGGGACTTGACACAGGAGATAATAAAGATAGGTTCTCACTACTCAAAGTATATTGAGAGAGAAACGCCTTGAATTGGAGAATAGCAAAATCAACCATTAAAACAATTGCTCCTTATAAAAAAATTTAGGCGCTAGTTATAAGAATGAATCTTCATGCGTGAACAGCCACTCTTAGAAGTGAATGATGTTCTTCAAAATTAAACGGGACCACTATGGAGGTACCCTCTTTCGAACAAAAAAAAATCATGAAAATCGATTCGCAGATACCGGAGTTATCCGGAGCGTAACAGACATACAAAAAAAATATACAGACGAATTAAGAACCTCCTCCATTTTTGAAGTCGGTTAAAAAGGGTAACTAACTCAGCTGTAGGGTAACTAGCACTCAGAACTAACTCTAACGTCAGTAGCAGAGCTTCTTGTGAAAGAGCTCGTTCAGGGAAGTACTGCCACCTTAACTATTCTTACCGCCAAGCAGTAATGGTCACATTACTGTGTGTATCGGTTGTGAAGGGTAAGGGTGCTGGTGAAATTACAGGCACATGAAACTTGTGTTGACAAGTCTCAAGTGCTATAAGTTGTTATGTCTCAGGGTGACGGGCGCAGTGGCGGTGCCCCCAGATCTTTATGATTTAAAGCTCTGAGTAACACTGCAACTGTTATGGGCAGGCGTGTGGCTTCCTACCCGGCGCACGACTTGTTCGGCCCGTCATTTGGTGTTATATAAAAAAAATCTCGATAGGGGGTGAGAAGAATATTTACGAAGGGTGAAACCCTTTCGCAACTTTTCCATGTTCGTACACGTAACTAACTTTAAGAAATTCTGTATTTGGAAACCTTTCACTTTGTCGAACTACAAACTATCTATATAAAAATTCGTCGCGCTCAAAATACATTAGATGAAATTTATCTTTTTTTAAATAAGTCTACTTGGTACTATATAAACACACTGTTGCGCTTCCACATGTTCGCTAAGACACATAGACAGTTTTCTTGCAATTCTGAGAAGGCCAGTACCCTCATTGTGGCGACATGTGTATGGGGACCCCAACAGCATTCTGACTGTTGTAGAGAACTGAATATACTGCCCCATTCCAATTCAAATTCAAATTCTTTATTTGCCACGTCACAAGCTCGTAACATTTAGCACGTCAATAGTACAAAATTTCTTATCTTATCAAAGTCATTAATCACTAACGTTTAAGAGGGAGCAGAGGAAAAATTCCTAATCTTCGATTTGATTTTAGAGGGGTATATCCACTTTAAAGTTAAAAATAAAATATTGTATGAGTAACTACACGATATATTCAAGCATAGACATTATTCAGAAACATAAAACAATAAAGTTTCCTCGATAGATAAAAATCACGAAATGACCTCTAATTTTCACATTTTTTCGATTTATCCTCGAAATGCTACAGGTTATTAGGACAAAAATGAGATAATTACTTATATTTATGCATGATCGACAACTGTCACTACGGATTTTTTTTTAATCCCTTTAGTTTTAGAGTTATTCCGCTAAAACGAATAATGCGCAAAATTCAACATCTCCTGTCGCATGTCACGCGAACTTCAGGCATATATTTGTTTCACAAATTTGGGCGGAGCCAACGTCAAAACTTTTTTGGCATGCTCCCTCTTAATGTATTACGTAACTAAATTTACAGTTTTGCACATACGCACATAATTAAAATATTAATTTAATTATAATATATTGTTAAGAAATAAACATTTTCAACAAAAAAAAATGGCAACAGGATACATTAAATGTCATAAAATAATGAGTATTTTTTTAATGCATAACTTAGACTACTTACATAAGTATACTACTTAGACTATGTTTTATTTTTTTCCATCCTCTAAGATGCATAAGGTCAAAATATTCGTCAACTTTATAGAATGGATTTTCAATTAATTTTTTTAAATCTTTCTTTTGGATTCTAAGTCAGGCAATTCGGATATAGCCGGTGCTATAGGTGTACCAGAATCTCATGGCATTAAATATTAACGTTAACTTGTCACATGTCAATTCAAAATATTATGTGTCAAATGGCAGTCTGTTGAACTTTTTTCATAAAAAAATAACGATTTTGTAGCAATAATTACTGAGAATCCGCTTCAATCTTTGGCAAAAACATTGTAATACTGTTTATCGCAAAATCAGCGACGAATTAGATGCATCTAAGTAGTGCCGATTAATAGGAGTAAATAAACTTGATCATTGAATTTTTAACGAAGTAAAATCACGGTAACTACATGGTAAGTAATTATTTTTGGTACTGGTGCTGGTCAGCAAGACTACAGTGTAAAAAATGGAAATTGCGTAAATGCGAGTTACTTCAAACTGCAAACGTAAATAAATCTAACACCTACAATGAAATTGATTTATTTTCTCATTGACTTACAAATAAATGGACGACGGGTCTAATACACAAACCACGAAAAAAATGTCCCAAGTCAACCTATTTAAACGTAGTGACATGTAAAGGAATATGACAAAGCTAAAACGTTGAATTTAAATTGTAATGTCATCGCAGTACTGTCTAATTTTGCTTGCTTCGCTGTCAGTCAAACAAACAACAAAACAAACGAAGACTAAAGCGTGAATGACGCTCTGTATACGATTTTAACGCCCTATAAGTTCGGACACTTTTTAGCGCGGACCCGACGTCCATATAATTGTAAGTCAATGTATTTTCTGTTTTATTTTAAATTTGTCAGAAATTACTAACCTTTCTCACACACAAATTCGTACAGATCCTGTACGAAGATAGATCAATTCTGGTCAATTAAAATATATGAAGTATCTAGTACATTTTTTCCTACTATTTTGACGTTATGGTTATGATTAGTGGTACTATCAGTTTATCTTTGTTTCTAGTGTTGTAAGTGTGTACATCTCTGCTCACTAGATTTCATTCCGGCTCACTAGATACATCTTCACGTTGGTGGTTTAGTTTATCTGGCTAGGTGGTTAGGGTTAATGCTGACATGGGACTCGTATACTTGTAACTGTAACAAGTGGGTTTCAGTTATTTTTACGGGCATACAAAATATTTGAGTAAATGTACTGTGATGCCACAGTCACGATACCAGTCTCCTTAAACTTTCCTCTGAGAGAAACCCTAGAACCTAAAACATAATAAAGAACAACTTTTGTTCCATGACTTTTCGTAATTCGTCAGATTGTACTTTCATATAAAAATAAACAGTCATTGAAAAACCAAATACAAAGATACGACGCAAGCACATAGAAAAATTCGTGAGGTCCGCTGGTTCGTTCCGTGGCTTAGTTGATATAGCGTCTGATACGGTAAGCTAGAAGACGTCGGTTCGAATCTGGCCGTATCGAAGGAATTTTTTCTGAGTGTGTTGTATTAATAATTATAACAAACTAGTGGAGTAATTTCATATAAAAATAATTGAATATCAATTCAGTAAAACTTCAAAAATAAACATATTTAAATATGTCGCTCTAAACGGTGATAACTCTGTGCAGTGTTAAGGACCATTGCGAAATAGTATTGTTTGCTGACACATCCTTGACTTGTAAAACAGACAGACATGACATTAACTATGACCATATTAATGATACCCTCTCTACGGTAGTTTATTGATTTAATGCTAACAATTTATTGCTTAATGCCAAGAAGACGAAATGTGTTAAATTTGAATTAGCTAACGTAAAATCGACTAGTCCAAGCATAGAAATAAACGGAAAAATGTTAGACCTTGTTAATAAAGCAGTCATCTTGGGAGTGACCTTATATAGTAAACTTCAATGGTTTCTACGTATATCTTCCCTGGCCAGCAGATTAAGCTCCGCTGCATACGCAGTCCGCAGAATACGTAAGCTTACCGATGTTAGTAGTGCTAGACTAGTTTACTTTAGTTACTTCCATAGTATAATGTCCTACGGGATTCTCATGTGGAGTAAAGCGGCAGATATTTAAACCATATTTGTATTGCAAAAACGAGCGATTCATTCTGTGTACCGTCTAGGCTTTCGGGTTTCTCTCAGAAAAAAGTTTAAGTAAACTGGTATCATCACAGTACATTTACTCAAATATTTTATATGCCCGTAAAAATATACATAATTTCAATAATAAAGAAGATATCCATAATATTAACGTTAGAGCTAAGTCCAAACTCAAGATACCACGATTTCGTTTAACCAAGGTAAACGACTCTTTTATGGGGAAATGTATACGTTTTTACAATAAGATTTCGGAGCATACATAAGCAGGAGCAAATATTAAAAATATTTTGATTGAAAAGTCATATCACAAAATTTAAGACTACGTGTTAGATAAAGATTTATGGAAAGACGACCAGGCTCTAGAATCCACACAAATTTGATTCAAAGTGTATTCCATAGCATTTAAGTTTATTTGAAAAGAGCAATCCCTAGAGTTTCTTGCCCGTTCTTCGCAGGGAGGTCAGCGTAGTGAACGAGCAGTAGCTTAAATGTGACGTTTTCAAGTGTAAATTTATTTTACCTATGGAATAAATGGTCTTTGACTTTGACTTTGACTTTGCAAAACACGGGAGTCGTCGAACTTTCTACCTTACTACTAGATATTGCTTTAAATACCACCTCGTTCTCACATTACTCCCTATTTAAATATATGTAATCTACTCAATATAAATCAAAATACTTTTTCGGATTCTTCATCCATATTGGTTAGTATAACAAAGAAAAACTTAGGCACTAATGCATTGACTTACAAATAAATAGACGACGGGTCTAATACAAAAACCACGAAAAAAATGTCCCAAGTCAACCTATTTAAACGTAGTGACATGTAAAGGAATATGAAAAAGCTAAAACGTTGAATTTAAATTGTAATGTCATCGCAGTACTGTCTAATTTTGCTGACACTTTTTAGCGCGGACCCGACTTCCATATAATTGTAAGTCAATGCACTAATGTTAGTAATTACAAGCTTATAAATATGAAATCTTCATTATAATACGTTATTATTATACTTAATTATTATAACGAAATTATAAATACAAAATAAGAAATCTATGAATAATGCTTTTCCATTTTTTTCCCCTCGGCCAGTTACAATCTTTACAGTTACACTTACATTCTGTTGTCTATGATGTTAGTAATCTGGTCTTGCAAGGTTGTTAGTATTTTAAAAATTCAGGGTAATTTAATGGATTTAATTCGACCGAAATAAATAATTTGACTTGATTATATTATAACTATTCACGTGCGTGGCAACGCCTTGAAATACTTGTTGAATGTGTTGACCCGACAGTAAGTAGTGACTTCTAAAAATTTAATTTCCGAAGTACTTTTCTTCTTCTTTACCTTTCATCTTTCGTAAGTGTTAATAGGTACGCAATTATATCAACCGAAGAGCATGCCGGTTTATTTTATAATGGACCTAATCGATAACTTCAGCACTAAGAGAGGAATTTATTGCTACGCATGCGTGACGAGGAAAAGGCGGCGCGAACACGGTGGTTTCAACACATCGGCGCAGTTGAAGATAAGGGGGGGTGAAGCGAAGTGCAGGAGGCACAACACAGTATTGAAAACCATCCTAGTTCTTCCAGGCACCGGTACCTAGTCTATCCTAAATTCTGTGTGCATCATTCATGCCTCCAAGTGCATAAAACGAGATATATAATAAATATGGAGGTAGAGTCGTAGACTGAATTGTGTTCATTCCCTCGGTATCCGCGAAACAGGTAAACGAACGCTTTTAAAAGCGAAAATTAAACCAGTGCTTTTGCGGACAGAGGAAAACAAATGGGGAAAGTACTTCGGATCAAAGATGATGCGTGGAGAAGACCTGAAACCAGGCGACGCATCATAGAGAAGATGTAAGTAACATTTTATATTGTCGTTGATTTCCTGCGACTAAGTACCTACTCGTGACTTTGTTTACACTGTAATGTCAACATAAACTATGTATTAGCAATCCATTTGCGGGGTTAAAGTTCGGTTGTCAATTTTCTTAATTCCATGCCGTATGCTGCAATCGACTTATTTCAAGCATCAAGTACTTACATAATCTACTAGGTATTACTTCTAAAATATCTAATAGATACATATATTTTACATTATTCAATATTTTGCTACATATTTGAAACTTCATTAGATTGTATCACTGTCTCATAGGCCCGGCGCCCACTGACGGAACGGCTCAGCGGAGGATTTTTAGGTGACGAATGGAATACCTTGAAGTTATGGTATTATAGTTGAAATTTCAATGATAATGGCCGAAGCTACAAAAATAAAGCTGCGTTCTGCTTAGGGATACCGAGCCGGTGGCCTCCAAAATGCCTCGGCAGCCTTGGGGATGCTTCGGCTGCCTTTAGGATACTTAGACAGCCTTTGCGATGCAAAGGCAGGCAGGCTTCGGGACGCCGAGTCTGACTTTTTTTATACTACCTAATGACGGGGCGAACAAGTCGTGAGCCTGGTGGCAAGCGACACGCCTGTTCATAACTCTTGCAGTGCCAATTAGAGCTTTAAACAGCAAAGACCAGAAGGGCACTGCCACTGTGCCCGTCACTCTGAGCCATTAGACTTCCTTCACACGGCATTGTCCTGCACGTCTTTTAACGTATTCGATTATAAATGGATAGTGGGGTGTTCTCACGATATATTTTCATGCGTTTAAAAGACAGAAAGCTGCAATATTCACGCAACACCACAGATCCACGCTTTGTTGCACTTTCATATTGGCATAGAAGACACCAACGGCTTTGCCGCCGGAAGAACTGAAGGTTGGGTTCATCCAATGAATCAAGAAACAGTGCGTACAAACTCATTTGAAAAATTGTACGAAAATCTGAATAATGATTAAAAAACGGGCCTTTGTGTAACTAAAGATATCAAATAAGTCGTTGTTCACAGAAGATTCGTCGGTCATTTTGTATTAATAAAATTATGCATCCTTCCAAAACATACTTCAATACTAGACGCCGCTTGTTCGGTAAGTATTCCATAAAAAACGTATGATTTTGCGCCGTGTGAAAGAGATGCATTAATACTATGCATTAATACGTTAAAGTTCATTCGATTTGGTTGACAAGCCCGTTGCGTATTCGATAAGCGTATAGAGCTGAGTACGTTTTTTTGTAGGACAAAGACCGTGTGATTAGTTCTGTATCTAATGTATGCGCCACTGTTTATTCTGTAAGATTTATACTGCAAAACAACGTGCTGTACAATGTCGCGTGAACGAGGGGTAAGTTGACAAGTCCCATGTGCCTGTAGTTTCACCAGCACCACTACACTTCAAAACTGGAACGCAATAATGCCCACATTACTGCTTGGCGGCAGAAATAGGCATGGTGGCAGTAGTTCCCTGGATGAACTGTTTCACAAGGACCTCTACAGCTACTAAAACTATACGGATATGCGGTGTGAGAGGAGGCAGAGATCTGAACAGAGGCTAGGCGCGAGCATAATGTCGCGACGGAATACTGTCTAGTCCCTCAATGATGGAATGGGGCAAGTAAAATTAAATCATGCAATTTCATCGCACTCTCTCCGTGATATATCCTGCAAAATACTGATAAGCAGGCAACTTTACGATGGTGTTCTAGGCTTTGCCGCTACAAAATCCGAGTCACTCACACACAGTCACACTGCATACGCAGTCCGCAGAATACGTGAATTTACCGATGTTAGTACAGCTAGACTAATTTACTTTAGTTACTTCCATAGTATAATGTCCTACGGGATTGTCATGTGGGTTAAAGCGGCAGATATTCAAACCATGTACGTATTGCAAAAACGAGCGATTCGTTCTGTGCACCGTATAGGCTCTCGGGTTTCTCGCAGAGAAAAGTTTAAGGAGACTGGTATCATGACTGTGGCATCACGGTACATTTACTCAAATATTTTATATGCCCGTAAAAATATACATAATTTCAATAAGAAAGAAGATATCCATAATATTAACCTTAGAGCTAAGTCCAAACTCATGGTACCACGATTTCGTTTAACCAAGGTAAACAACTCTTTTATGGGGAACTGTATACGTTTTTACAATAAGATTCCGGAGCATAGATTAAGTTTATCATTTCCTAAGTTTAAAAAGTACATTAAAAATATTTTGATCGAATAATCATATTACAAAATTGAAGACTACGTGTTAGATAAAGATGTATGGAAAGACGACACGGCTCCAGAATCCACACAAATTTGATTCAAAGTGTATATCATAGCATTTAAGATTATTTGAAAATAGCAACCCCTAGAGTTACTTGCCCGTTCTTCGCAGGGAGGTCAGCGTAGTGAACGAGCAGTAGCTTAAATGTGACGTTTTCAAGTGTAAATTTATTTTACCTATGGAATAAATAATCTTTGACTTTGACCTATAAGCCTCTTGACGCGTTTTTCCAGTGGATCCCGTGTGGCCAGTTGGTATTTAGCAGAACCGTTTCGTAGGTGCTATTGCTAAAGTTGAAGCAACTTCCTTAGACGAACTCTTTGACAAGGAGCTTTATTGCTATTTAAACTTTATGAGCCTTTATTGTCTCTCTTCCTACCTTCACATACCTCTTACAAAGCAATTCACGACATTCTCCCCATACCATAATTTTCTCCCAGTGACGAGGTTGTTCACCGCATCGGAGTGGAAATGGAGCAAACCAGCATCGACATAGAGAACTTGGCGTACTTGAGAGCCAATAACCGCCAGGACTACATGTACATGATATATAGGTCCATTATAAGCAACATGGAGATAGGTAAGAACGACCAAAAGCAAGCCTTACCCGAACTGTTTTACATGTTTTATTGTCTACGTGAACTGTAAACATAAATATCCCCACTAACCTTGAACGCGAATTCAATATTAATGGTACAATTTATTTATATACTTATGTATGTACGTACGCAGGAATGTTATGTATGTAACTGTTGGTATATAAACAAATTTCATTAATTATTTAGAGAATCTTACGAAAACACAAACTTAAATTCATCCTCCTCACAGTTAAGAAAAATTATACAGGGTGTCCCACGGGTATGGGACACGGAAAGAAAAAAATAATAATACATAGGATACATATAAAAAATAATAATGTATATTTTGCTTTATGGAGACATTATTTTATTTTTAAAAGTAAGTAACAGCGCATTCAAAGGCTAAGTATTCACAGAGCGGTTTCCGCCTGCGCCCGCCGCGGCTGCGTGACAACCGTTTTATTTCTATACTCACGACACCGCAGGTTTGTGCGTCATGTAGCCGCCGCGGTTGCGGAAAAGCCCGCAAACTTGACGGGAGATGATCGCAGGTCGCACGGTTATTTACGATCAATAGAAATCGTCGCGGGCGAACCGACCGCTTAGCGCGCGGGTGACCGGCCGCGTCCCGGGCATTTCTACTAGTACACGCTATGGCTACCGCGAGTAACCGTCCCCGCCGTGGGCGTAAAACGCGTCATGAAATGAGCTATTAAATTTTACATACATATCTACATTCTACGGAGGCCGTAATCCTCCAACCACGGCGGGCGGGGATGGTGAAAATCGCTCCGTGAGTTCCTAGCGTGAAATTTTTAAAACTTGCTTGCCCTATGAGCGACCACATATGCAAAAAAAACATTCTGTATTTTTATCACAATAAGTGAACTAAAATTACCTACTAAAACGCGTTACAGCCACACCACTGTAGCGCTTCTAAAAGCATCTAATTTGAAAGCACCCTTAAAGTATCCCTTCGTGTCCTATAGCCATGGGACACGTGTATAAGGAATTGTAAGATATATTGAGATATCAATATAAATTTTCATTTACAGCTAGAGAGCGGAACGCTGACTTCAGAGAAAAACTGAACAAATTTGCTCAAGCCAAATCTCTGTCAACTCGAACTGCTCTCGCCATCGTCACAAAAATATAATCGAAGCGTGCACGCATGCTCAAATCATCTAATATATCTTTATGTTGTGATTTTCCAAGAAAATATAAACAAAATGGTAATATAAATACTTCTGATGTTCTTTTAATATATTCCCGTTGGCGCTCTCACAAAATACCAAATTAAGTAGCATCAGGTATGTCAATGTAAAAGGTCTACTTACTTTGTCGATTTGAGATTGAATATACCACGTGATTTTTTTTAACTGGGACAGTATGGGAAAATCCAAAACCATAGGTGATACAGGAAAACTGTCTTAGGAACCAATAGGCTTTCTTTTTCGTTTTCCCATGTAGCATATAATTCACATGAAATTCAATAATATTACACTTTTTAAATTATTAAGTACTTGGACTATAATTAATTTAATACATTGCAATTTAGTCTTGTATAAAAAATAATTGATCAAATTTGATCAACTTCTGTTGTTCCGATTTTTTTCTACCCATGCATCAAAATGTTCCTTACAAGAAACTTAATCGATCAGCATTCATTTTTTTGTCGATATTATAATTTTTTTTATCAATATTAGGTATTCATTTCTAAAGACAGCTCACGCTTGCCCAAAAAATTTACTGTATCAAATTTGACAAAAAAGACCTAATGATTCCTACGACAGTTTCCCTGTATCTCCTATGGTTTCGGATTTCTCCATTCTGTCCCAGTTAAAAAAACACACTGTATATTTATAACTTAAAAAACGGCGAAGATGGCGTATTTTCGAACAGATTTTCAGGTTGTCGTTTTGATCAATGTTAACACGTCTCTGTGAGTTTATAATTATAATCTTGATGTTTATAAATGTTACGAATTTAGATTAGATGTGAAATTGGGTTGTGAAATTGTAAAGGTAGAAAAAACAGTTGCTGACTGGAAGAGAAATTTCAACCGTAAATCTTTTAAAAGGTTCTTTTCGTCTGCTTTTCCAGGCAGGGGTACTGTTTATTACCTGCGAGAAAGGAAAACCACCATTGTAAAGACTACTTTGTACGGAATAAACAATAAAACAAATTGTTTGCTTTATTATTGTAACAACTTTCCAACGTTTTTTCAATTAGGAAAATTTCGCAAGTCTTATGAAAGTATAATATACTTACAAAAATCCTGTTTGCGTCATTGGGAGGTTGGAATAATGTTTAAAAGTTTGCTTGGCAACTTAAGGCTCAATTTATATTGCGGCGGAACGAAGTGGAAGCGAATTTTCGCACATACAAACTCGCGCACACCGCGAAAGGTTTTGCCTCGTATCTATAGTCGTCACCAAATAAGAGGCCAAATTTGACAGCTAAAGAAGGCGATAGTATGTAACTTTGAATGCGATCAACGAAGCAATAAACAAACAATAATTTACAAAATAGTGTTTAAAAAATACATAAATTTTATTGAAATATTATATAATATGACAAAACATATTTGAATCACATTATACGATTTTAATGTGATTTCCGATATGATTAGTCCACATCCCTATTCGTGACACGATGACAAGTGTCAAATTTGACCTTTTATTTGGTGACTACTATAGTTTGTATGTTACACAATTGATCACAAAGTTCATTTTGCTATGTTACAAAAATTCGCTTCCACTCCGTTCGGCTGCAATATAAATTGAGCCTAAGATTGCAGGTGAAAAGAACATTTTTGTCAATGTTCACCATTTAGGATAGCTAGTGTAATTGGAATTTAAATAGGTAAGTAGATAGGCTGGGTTGTATAGAAAACACTTACCTATTCAATTATTGTAACGTTAACACAGTACCTATCGATACATATGAGTTAGAAATGAAAAAATTAAGTTTTTGAATCCTATTAATATTTACTGGTAGATAGCAGGTATTAATGGTAACTAAAAAAATGGTAAGATTTTATTCTATATTCATTTACTACATATCTCATTCCGCAGCAATAAATTTCCGATTCCGTAAAGGAATTCCAACTCGAATGTTTGCAATCTCTCCCTTCAATTAAAAAAATCGATAGGGATGGCCCAGTTTTATACGTAATTAATTACCGGCAATTGTTATTTTCATTTCAAATCACTTATTAAACAAAATTCATAACACACATGACTTCAATTAGTATTATCAATAGCCTTATAAAATTTCAGGTAAAAATTTTGAAATTGTTGGAAATATAATGAGGTGAAAACCCTAAAATTATGTTTTTGGTTGTTGATATTTATTCTACATCGAATTTGGCTTGAGTATAAGTAAGTACCGCTGTGCGTGTATTTTGGGGTTACATAACAATATTTTTACGTACCCAATATTGTAGTTCGTTAAACAAAAAACAAAAATGTCAATCATATTAAGAAGAACTGTTTTTAACGAGAAATAGCGATAGACATAACATTAATACGAGGACTAAAATATACTAGCTGTTCGTAACAATTGTTTTCAAAAAGTCAGAAATCGTTCAAGACGCTTTTATAATAAGATTCTGAGTGATATTCAAAATTTTCCATTTAGGAGGTTTAAAACCAAAAACAGAACTTTACACTATAGCCTTAACAGAGCCGAGGCGTGAAAATTGTCGTTAATAAAGCCGCAGCAAGACAAAAAGTCCTAACTTAAGAAAAAGTGGCGCCTTAGCGACCTTAAACACAACGTACTAGCACACAAGTTAACTACATTTGTACTTCATTTCACTGGTTAACTTATTCTACACATAATATTTAGCACAAAATGTAGTATTTGATAATACGTTGAAAATTTTAACAAGCCAGTGAAAATCGAGTCATATGAACGCCTCACCAATGATAGCCTAGCCTTAGAGTAAAAGAGAAGGCTCGGTCCACATAAATTTATTAGAAGAGGAAAAGAAAGGAAAAGAACAGGGATAGGAGAGGCTGTAACAAAAATAATACAATGATATAAAAGGTATAAACAATATAAAACATTTCCTACTAAACAGTCTAGGCACTTAGCCCAGAGAAGCTCTATACTGTAATCGTTAAGTGTGCCCAGGCGATTATTCCATCAATATCAGAGATATGTAAAAGCTTTAAACTGATATAGAAAATACGTTACCATTAGGTAAACTGAGTCGATGAGTACTAACAAAAATTTGATCAATTTTATTCATTTATATGGACAACTCACACTTGACCAAATAATTGACTATGCCATTCATTGACTTACAAATAAATGGACGACGAGTCTAATACAAAAACCACGAAAAAAATGTCCCAAGTCAACCTATTTAAACGTAGTGACATGTAAAGGAATATGAAAAAGCTAAAACGTTGAATTTAAATTGTAATGTCATCGCAGTATTGCCTAATTTTGCTTGCTTCGCTGTCAGTCGAACAAACGAAGACTAAAGCGTGAATGACGCTCTGTATACGATTTTAACGCCCTATAAGTTCGGACATTTTTTAACGCGGACCCGACGTCCATATAATTGTAAGTCAATGATGCCATTACATTTTTATTCAATTAAAAGATAGTTTTATTACTTTATTTATAGCAGCTTTATTATCTGTAAACTTATTGTTACCTCCCTAGGAATGTCATATTAAATGTATGGGAGCGTTAACGTTAAAATTTGGATATTTCTAGTTTTAATTTTAAAAAGTTATTGATGTCGATTTACTCATTAGATAAATACTTTCGATATAAGTTTAAAGCTTTTTGATATTTCTTATATTTATGAAATAATCGCCTGGGCACACTTAACGATTACACCCCGTATACGTATATAATATATCCAATGCTTTAAATTACGTGAAGTTCTGTTTTACATGACGATTACTAGCAATTTTGATGGGAGTGACGACGAGCGAACAAACCTAAGAATAATGAAAGTAAAAGGAATTCGAGAACGATTTTAAATTTTAAAAGTAAATGGCCAGCAACCCGTAACACAATTTATATTATGTTGGAACGGAAAGGAACGGAAGCGTCATTTCCGCCTCGCCGCGCGAGAAGGCCGCCTCCTAGCTATATAATATTTCGTCAACGTTTGACGTCACCTGCCTTGGCGCCACTTCCCGCGGATTTGCCAAGCATTGCCAACTAGAAATTCTTGTGAATGCGCAAGCATTCACGAGCATGTGCGAGAATTTCGCGGAAGACGCGAGACGTGATTTTTGACTCGTATCTCAACAGACCATAAAGTTCATTACGCTATGTACATAATTGTTACAAAACTTCGCTTCCATTCCATTCCGCCGCAATATAAATTGAGCCTTAAGAAGGTGATAAAAAGGTGGGACGACGATGGAGGAGGTCGCATAGTCACAAGATAAAGCGTACTTGAGTGAAAAAATCCGTGGTAGTGACCTATTTCGCTCTTGACGGTTTACATATTTCAAAGAGCTTCCTAGAGTTTCTTATTCATTGTTCTCAGCGGACTCTGCCCTACGAATGAATGATAGACTTTAATCAAGTGTAATTTGCTTACTTTTGAAATAAAGATGATTTGATTTCAAGTTTCACTTCGGAATTAACATAAAACGGGCTGTTCTTGGCAGTCGTCTTCACCAAATAACAAATTCGTTTAAGAGGCAAAGTATACGCTTCTATAATAACCAGATATTGAAAAAGGCCGAGTATATAGACCTACTTCTGGTAAGTTCTCTGAAATCTAACACACTGTAGACCCCTCAGACGTCCTTGCAAGCGTGGGCGGCGCAGACTTTGGGGCTAGAGCGGCCGAGAACCGAAAAAGGCTCAAATACGCCAATCTTGCTCTCTGTCTGGGGGCCACAGGTGAAACTTCTAGCGAACAAGCTGTCGGATCGCCTCGTAAAGGCCTCCGGTTACCACAGGGCTGGCAGTTTTTTCCGCCAAAAAATAAGTTCAGCAATTCAAGGGGGAAATATTGCCAGCCTTCTAAACACGATGCCCCAGGCATAAAATTTACTTAATTTTTTTTATGAATCTACCTGTTGCAGTTTACTTATTAGTTTGTGTTCAATAATGTATTTAATATATTTATTACCTGTAGTTACAACTAAAATAATATGTAACAAACCTACGCTTCCAGTGAAGTGTGGGCATTTACACGCTGAGCAGGCGGAAGTTGTTCTATTTGCTCTTATTACACTATGTATTAAAGCAAACGAATGACGTAAGACTTACGTACTTTTTAGACGCGTTTTCATTTTGAGTGGACTGCGAGATGTACTTGGAGACGAGAATTCTTTCCTCTTGCATAGCCATAACTGTGTCCCCCAATGCAAGTATCGCATTCACCTGTGGGCCAACATTTTTGTTAGTTAATTTTTATACAACTAGCTTGCTAACCCGTGGTATACTAATGGTTTAAACTACCGCCTCTGCCTCTCAAGCACAGGCCGTGGGTTCGAATCTGGGTTAGCACCTCTGAGTTTCTCGGAAGTTACTTTTCGGTGAAGGAAACGTCGTGATGAAACCTGCACGTCGAAGAAGGTCCACAACCCTCGGAAAACGTGTGAAGTCTCCAACTATAAATAGGTTGATGGTGACAATGATGATGAATTTTTATATAAACGGTTAACATTAGCTTATAATAAGTTCTAATAGACAAAAGCTGCTCTAAAAAGGACAGAAGCCCGAAACGGATGGTGAAAATAATGCACGTCACAATTGTAGTTTAAGGAGCTAATTTCTTTTATCATAGGATAATTAACTTTATGCCAAATCGCGTATATTTGTTTTTTCAAACAAACCAAC